TTTATGTGGGGTTTTGGATTAAGGTGATATCCTATGCCCTAAAACTCGATTTCAAATGACATAATGTGATGTTTCTAGGGTTCTGAATCAATTTAGATTGGGGTTTGTTCACAATCTGGGCGGTGAAGTGTAATTTTTGCTTAGCCTCTAATGGTGAATAATTCTGAAATGCCATGTTTAGCTTGAGGTTGCAAATTCTTGTTTTTTTTTTTATGGATGCACGACCCTCTTATTTTGAGGGATTAATAACCAGGAACTTATGTGTGTGATTATTTCTGACCTTTGAGATTCGTTTGCTGTTTGGGAGCTTTAATCGGTTATTATGATCGAGTATGGGGATTTGTGTGTTTATGATGACCTGTGTATTCGGATATGGGAAGGAAAGAAATTCTTATGTGGTTTATGATGGATTTGAATATGAAAATCTGTATACTAGGTCTTGTTGTGTGTATGGTGAGTAACTGGGAAACTTAGCTTAATTATGGTTAGGTGTGTAGTCCAAAATATAAAAACAAACATACAAAAACAAGCAGAACGGACAAAAGAATAGTAAATGATGAACAAAGATAGATTTATATATAGATGTAGTATTGTAGTAGGCTTAAACATGAAATATTCAAATGGAAGTACTGAGATGAATACAACAGTAAATATAATGAACTCATAAGGAAAAGCAACGGATCACATTTTTCGATTGCTTTTGTTATTATGGTGAGATTTGCTGACTTGTAATTTGCTTTGAAAGTCGATTTTGCTTGATTTCTTTTGGAGTTTTTTTTTATGAGGATGATATAAATTAATAATGAAAAAGGTACAGACAGTCAAAAAAGAAAAACAGAAAGCAAAGAAAAACCTCTAGGTAGACACAAGGGCACGTCTACGCTAGGGGCAGAAACAGAGAGGAAAGGAAGCAAAGGGAAGGAGGAGGGGGAGGGAGAGGCGCCAAGAAACAGTCTGCAGCAGCAGAGGCGCCGGGGAACAGAAAACAACACAAAACAACAACAACAGATAGTCATCAGCAGCAGAGGTGCCAAGAAGCAAAACGCCACAATAGGTAGATATGATAGGATTATGGATGATAATGAAGATTTGGATAACTACCAACCTTCTGCTATGGTTGGGGGAGTGGCTGAAGCTGCTTATACTATTCCTGCTCCTCTTCTCCTTGTCTTGTGCTTGCGGCAGTCTGTCCTTTTCTGCTGTTCTTCTACTGCTTTTTCTCTTTTTTATAGTTGTTGTATGTGTTTCTTTGCAAGGAAGAAGTGGTGGTGAAGAAGAAGAAATTGGGGAAGCTGTAAGGGAATTTTTGTCTCCCTTGTTTTCTGTGTCAGAAAAGAGAAGAAGGTTGGGGGTTTGTGTTTTTTGGTATGTACGAATAAAGGAGAGTGGTGTCTGGTTTCTTTGTAGGTGAAAGCGGTTTGTGGCGAGTTTTTGTTGTTTGTGTATTGTTTGTGGTTGAGAAGATGAAAGGGGAAGTGGTTCTGTGTGGGCAAAGAGGGAGTTTGGAAATGAAGAAGAAAAGCTCTCTATGTGCAAGGGGAAGAAGAATCTGATTGTCTCTTTGAGAGGAGTCCTGAGGAGGGGGGAGATGTACTCTGTTTCTTTCCTACAGAGTACAAGCAGAAGAAGTAAAAAAAGTCCATAGGTGGAAGAGAAGAAGGGATGCAAGGAAGAACTCTGCGCCCCCTTTTCCTTTTCTTTTGGTATGGAACAGATGGGTTTTTATAGAAAAAGATAACTTGCTCCCAAAGCTTACAGCTTAAAATGAAGTTGCTGGCTTTGTTGGAAACTCGAAGCAGTGCCGGTTCTGGGTCGGACCGATCTGAGTTGGGTCGGACCGATATGGGTTTGGTCAGACCTGATCTCTGACCGGTTTGACTTTGTTGACTGGTTTGATTGAGGGTCTTTTGACTTGGGCAGTTTTGAACTTAATTGTAAAATTGTAATTATTAATTGTTCTAATTATGTAGTTAATTTATTGTAATTGTCTTAAATGAAATTGTTATTTCTTTCTTTAGGTATCCAGATCAAGATCCAACCTCACAATCTCATATGTCAAACAAACGATCAACTTCTATCACAACCAAAATCGAACACAAGTCTAATTCGTACAGATTTGCTTTTGTAATTCGTACAGATTTGCAAAACAAAACCCAACTCAAACCAAATACGACTTCAATTAGTAGTTTTGTTTAAAATTTGCTATTGCTAACTTTAAATAAAAACTAAAATTTATTTAATTAAATATGTTTTGCCCGAACAAAAAGCGATGTCTACAGGTACCAACTGCATACCATATGGTATCTTCTTCGTTTTTGAAAATGTTTGCACAGAAGGGACGAGTTCATCATGATCTATTGGATCTAAAAATTTCTGGGTGAACAAATTACAGGACCAAAAAATACCACACAATACCACCCTGGTACGGGGTGGTATCTTGTGGTACACAATGTTAAAAGTCGTAAATGACAGTTAATATACTTCTACTATCATGTATTTCAATACCAGTCAATACCATATAGTATAGACTGGTAAAAAATGGCTCAATTTTTTTTGTTCGAAAAATATATCAAAGTTGATATCATTTTGAAGAGCACAATTAATCTGATCTAACTGTGCAAAAAAAAATCGACTTAAAACATGTGAGAAATCGTCTGTCAAAGATTAAGGAGGAGAGAATTAAAGGCTTTCCAGGAGAGAGAGGGATGTTGATGTCAAGCTGATATGGACAAGTTACTCATGGTTACTCACCATAAGGTTACTAACTTGATCCGTTCCCCGGACAACCTATATTCCATACAAGCTTGAACCAAGTTACTTTGGTCTAGCGTGTTCCAAACTCTTTTAACTAAGTATTGTACCATTACTGTTGCCCTGAAACGACGCGCTTAACCATCAAAACGGAGCCATCTCAATCTGAGAAAAGAAGCACCTCGCAACGATGCCATTTCGCTGTATCGTCCTTCGAAGTCTGCCACATCCTTTGAAGAGAGGACTCCTCGAATGATGATCTCCCCTCTGATCTCTTCTCTCGATCGTCCTCTCTCAGAAGAAGCTCCAGCTTTCTCGAGCGTGCTCCACCTAGCACCGTCTCTATCTTGGCAAATGATGAAGACTATGGAAGGCTCCTGATTAGGCAACGGTCGTCTGCTAACCAGCACTATAAATTGTAAGCCTTCTGCTCAGTAGCAAATTGGCAGTCTGTAGTGTGAGCTTTCGATCTTAAACTCTTCTACTTTGGGTCCATTAATGTTACAACTTCAGTAGATTGAATCACAATGTATGGGAGTGTACTGGGTGATTCGAATCTTGGAAAGTAGGAGTGTTGAGTGTAGTTTTTCAAAGAGCCAAGTTACTTGGCTTGGCTAGGGTTCTTTGTGCAGTTAGTTCTCTGTATTTGCAAAATCAATAAAATTATTTTCTTTTCTTTACAAGGGATCATTGTAGAAAAGATAAAATCAGAATCTCTTGTCGAGTACATCTCACATTCTGAGTTTTCAATTACCTCATTATCCCAACAAATTGGACCATTCTTAATACACATAAATGACTCAAGCAAGTCTCTTCAATGTCCATGAACTACTTTGAGACACCTTCCTAGACCATAGATCTGATAGTCTACACTTAAAACCGCAGGCTGCCCAAATCACTCCAAGCCTTAATAAAAAGAAAGCAAGAGTATTCTAGTTGTACATGACTTGTTTCGGGTTATCAGGACTTGTTTCGGGTTATCAAATCCTTCGGCCCTAATCCTCCTTTCCTTTTTGGCTTAGCAAGTCCACCCCATGCTACCGTTGCCTTTCCTACCTCATCTATGCCATAGAAAGTATAAACAAACACTTTAAATTTTCTAGGAGCCATCTTTGGCTTGTGTAACGATTAGGATTGGTTTGTAGAAAAATGTTTTTTTGATAAGGGTGACCATTATATTAATGGAGAAAAGAACAATAAAAAGTTCAAGTGTTCACAAGAAATGAACCCGAACGAGACATCACAAGGGAACAGGAACAAAAAAGAAAAGAAATAAGAACAAGACACCAGCTTGATGGAACAGGCCACCCCTACTGGTCACAGGAAAAGAAATCCCTTTCAGTTACCGAACAAAAGAACAAGGCGAACACAAACACAGTAGGCCTCAAACAAACAAACCCCAAAGTCTGCAAATCAACTAAAGACTTCATTCCTGGATTCCTGCTCGGAAGGACAAGCCTGGAACAGGAGCCTTAACCATTCCTTGCTGTTGTGCTCACTAATCAAACCCGCTGCCGAAATCCATCTTAGAAGATTCCTGCCAATCTTGACAAAAATAGTCTGCCATGTATGCTTTGTGTCATTGAACGACCTGTCATTTCTCTCTTTCCACACCTCCCACGTATAGGCATGCAGGAAGAGATGAGTAAACCAATCAAGCCAAGATGAAGGATCACCAGTAGGCCAACTCCGGATCAACATCTGCATCTCTTCAAACTGAGGTCCGCACACCCTCAGAATCTGGAGAAAAGTGCACCTAATTTTGTTGCTGAAATTAGCCCTTGACTATAAAAAGGGAATTGAATTGTGCGGTAAATACCAGTTACAGCAAGATAAACAATTGAAGCTCGTATTGGATAACACTCATCAACATGATAGATACTAGTTATAAACGTCCTGCATATAATAGCTTCTTTTTAACAAACAAAATAATTAGAAATTTCAACAATCAAAACGATTTCAACCTGCCACTTTTCCGCAAACCCGGCCCTCCATTAGCGTATAAAAAAAAAAAAACCTTGTTAATACACTGTCACCCATAGACTAAACTGTAGTTTCGCTATAACATATGCTCATTGATTGATGAATGTTTATTATGAACTTAGGGGGTTAATTAACGGACACATTCAATGCCAAATGTCGATGCGTAAAGTAACGTTAGCCAGTTACCATTCAAACTATGGAAATAAAACAAAAGGAGCTTAGTGGGTTAATTAAGCTCCCTCAAATCAAGAATTAATAACAACAACATGACGAGGATAACGACGACGTCGCTATCCATTCTAATCGTATTAACATCGGCGATCTTGCATCTCCGGCAAGCATCGTGTTTCGACAAGACCAAGCTAGGAGGCTTAATAGAAGACATAGTGGCGGAGGTTGACGAAGTAGCCGCCCGGTACCAAGCTCCGCCCTCCGTACGACCACCGCCCAAGGTGACATATATATAGCACTTAATTACTCAACTAACACACAAATAATTAAAACATCGCGCGTCGTGATAATTACGTGCACAAAATTAAGCAATGCAGGTCGGCGGAGTTTATTACCCGATCGGTTACGGGGCCGATCCGACGGGCCACAACGACAGCTCCGATGCGATACAAAAGGCCCTCAACGACGCTTTCTCGCAACGTGGCGAAGAGAAGCGTTACTTGATGCGTCCCATGAAGGACTTGGGTGGCGCCGTCATCGATCTCCAGGGTGGAAGTTACTTGATCTCCAAACCCATTACTTTCCCGCCGACGGCCGGCAACATCATGGTAACTCCACAATTTCTATCCATAAAAACGTTCCATTTGCCACGATTGTACCGTCGCAAACAGATCCAACTTTTGGAGACGGGCGAACTCTTTCGCGACGAATAACTGAATTTCGTCGCCTGGGGACGCGAACGGTATTCGTTTTCGCGACTGACTTATATATTTTTGGCGACGAATATTTTTGTCGCTAAAGGTGCATTTTTCTTGTAGCCATGGCACCTAATGAGCACCTAAAGCGTGACAACTATACACACGCGCATATTTTTGTTTATTCACATGAATTTCTGCTTATTCACGTTATATTGATATTTATTCACGTCGTAGTAGTAATAATGATGATTCACTTAAACAGTAACGATTGATTATTCACACACAAAACTGACATTTATTCTTTTTTTACCAGATGAAAGAGGGGAGTCTGAGAGCGAGCCAGGACTTCCCTCCGAACCGTTACCTAGTCGAGCTGATGTCCCCGGAATCCGAGATCCTCATCTACAAAACCGAGTCGGTCCACCGGCTCCACGGCCGGTGGATCTACTACGAGGACGTCACCTTCCGTGACATCCTGTTCGACTCGGCCCGGCGCGGGGGCGGGCTCCTGATCGTGAACTCCCTCCGCACCCGCATCATCAACTCCTACTTCCTCAACTTCACCACTCAGGGCATCCTCGTCCAGGGCGGGCACGAGACGTACATCGCCTCCTGCTTCCTCGGCCAGAAATCCACCGTGGGCGACGACGAGCATGAGGCGGACTTCTTCGGCACGGCCATCGACCTCGCAAGCAACGACAACTCCGTCACCGACACAGTCCTCTTCAGCTCCCAAACGGGGCTCCTTCTTCGAGGGCAGGCCAACATGGTCAGCGGCCTCCACGTGTACAACAAGGGCGTCAAGTACCGTGGCACGGGAATCTACGTCAAAGAAAGCGCGGCGTTTAATCGGATCGACAATAGTTACATGGACTATACCTCGATCGTCATGGAGGACCCGTATTTTGTCCATTTGACCAACTCGATGTTCTTAGGGGACGGGAATGTGGTGCTGAAGTCGGTTTACGGGAGGATGGCGGGGTTGACGGTGAGGGACAATTTTTTCCATGGGTTTAAGCGTGAGATTGTGGAGGTGGAGGGGGAGTTCAAGGTAGTGGATCAGGTGGTGGTGGATGGCAATCAGGCGAATAAGGCGATGCCGGTGAGGTCAACGGTCGGGAGGGTGACGGTGGCGGGGAATGGGACCAAGTGGGTGGCGGATTTCAATGATCAGTTGCTGTTTCCGGACAAGATTGATCACTTTCAGTACTCCTTTTATGTGAAGGGAAGGGGAAGGGGAGGGAGGTTGCCGGTGCATGCGGCGACGAATGTGTCGGGGAATGTGGTGGTGGTGGAGAGCGACGAGGCGGTGGACGCGGTGGTGTCGGTGGTGGTTGATCAGTTTAAGAAGGTAAGAGAAGCCACGTATTAATTAAAAAAAAATGTGGCTTCGTTTTGCTTCTTCGATCGATTAGCTTTTTTCCCTCTCGAATTCACCTGTCGTCACAATCACGTACGGGTTAATCACTAGAGAGGGGGGGAAAAACTGATAGAGATGGGGTGACAAAAACCGTGGAAGTAGCAAACTGTAGAATGCATGCTCACATGCAATGGGTGGATGAATTGTCTCATTTCTAAATCAAGAGAGTCGTTTTGATGCATCATTTTGCACCCCTATTATTTTAGAGTAAAATTATTCGTTAACTTAATTATGATATTTTTGAATTATTTCAAATAATTAATAGTTATTTGCAATAACTCAAATGTAAGCAGATTGAAATGATTGGATAAAATATATATTTTAGTTTTTTTTTTGTCGGACAAAGTATTTCCGATTAAATAAATCAATTCATTGCAATAACTTCTCCAAACGATCACGTACCGCTAGAAAAGTTAAAACGTCTTTTTTTATAGATGAATTAGTCTGTAGTAGATGCAATGCAACAATTTTGAAGGAGGGAGCCCGGAGGTACGAGATGGGGACTGGTTATAGGACAAGGAAATGAAGTGTTTCAGTATGCTACGATAAGGAGGGAAAAGGTTTTCGTGGTCATTGGAGGTGGAGGCCAATGCTACCGAATTCTGCCCGAAAATAGCAGAGTATCATGATTTTAGGCCGAGTATCATAAACAAAAAATGAGTGGAATTTTTTGGTGGAAAAACAGAAAGGGGAAGAGAAATCGAAACTGAAAATAGGACGAATTTTCTCTGAGCTTCTTGAAGAGGGAAGGCTTCTTGAAGAGGGAAGGGATGATACAAACCCATCCATGGGTCGAGTCGGATGAGAGTGGAATTAACGTTCTTTCCCTGTTATTTGTAAGAACCACTACTTAAGTGGTTAGAACTAGGGATGGGCACGTGTGTGGTTAATCCGCGGATTGATGTGGGTGGTTGATGTGGGTGGATTACGGATTGGTAAATCTCCCACACGCACTTATGTGGCTGGGTGGTGGGTGGATTGTGGGTCACCCATATGACCCACATCCTATTTTTACATGAAAAAATGTCGTTTATTATAGTATCGAATATTCATCATATTTTCGAACTGCACTACAGTCTGACCATATACTTCAAAAGGTGGAGAATAAATAATAGTTTTGACTACTATTATTGGTCATTGTGTTGTGCAATATCCATTACATATTGGATATTGGTATGTAGATTATTGTTAATAACCATTAAATATTGGGATGCAAACTATACATTATTAATTGTATCAAAATCATAAATTATTGATACAGTCTTACTAATTTGCTTTTTTTTTTTTTTAGTGATATCAATGGAAGATAATAGTTAAGCTTACAATTCTACCCAGGACCCCTAAAAGACTCTAAAGAAGCCACCCCAAAAAATCAAAAGATTCTAGCTCTACACTAGACAAAAGTAGTGCTTTACGCGCCACTCTATGGGCAACACTGTTGGCGGATCTAGGTAACGCCCTAAACTCTATACAAACAGACAAAGAGTTAAGGATCTGATGACACTCTCGTAACACCGGACCACCAATCAAATCTTCTATGACGCCTTGACGGACTTGGTTGACGACCATTTCGGAATCACCTTCGACTATCACGTGGGTCAAGGATCTTGAGGCTACAAAGGAGATAGCGTCCCTAAAAGGTAGAAGCTCTGCCAGATAAGGGTTGACTATTCATAGATGCTGCAACTTGAACGCCAACACCACATGCCCGTCTGACCCACGGATAACAAGCCCAGACGAACACCCAGAGGCACAAACTGTTGCGTCGACGTTGATCTTTAAAAAGCCTTCTGGTGGAGGGATCCAAGTGGTGGCAGGATGGTTTGGGAGTAGAGAGCTGCGGGGAGGAGGGGGAGAAGAAGACTGGAGACTTCGAGGACCGGGTTGTAGAACTGTCTGGCTAGGGAACGGACATGAGGTTGGATAAATTCGAATGTCACTTTATTTCAAGACTTCCAGATTCTCCAAAGTAAACAGACGCATTGGAGAATGTGGAATGTGGAGGTCTCAGAGACCATGACGTGTCGCCACCATAGACTAAAATTAAAAGTCTGGGAGGTCTCAATAAAGTTGCTCAATCCCACTAAAGTCCCGAATCTGATGGCTAGGGGGCATCTGAAGAATAAATGTTCAATGCTTTCTCAATCTCTCCAGCAGACAGGGCATCGGTTAAGGCAGTTTACTCCACGAGTTTTGAAGGGCCACTGCTATGGGAAGTATGATTTTGAGGCATTACCATATGAAGAATTTGAGCATAGGTGGTACTTGGATATTCCAAGTCCTTTTCCAAATAGGAAGGTCGATGATATGCACTATCGGTTTTCGGCTTGATGCCAATGTTATTTCCACAACTAAGTGATAACCCGATTTGACTGTGTATTTTCCATCCTTTGAATAGTGTCACGCTCTAATGTCTTGTTGTGAGTAACGAGGAAGAGGAATTCCCCTGATGAGATTAACAGACTGAGGTTCAAAGCAATTCTGGAGTTTTGGTACAGTCTTACTAATTTGCTATGAACTTATTATAAATGTTAGTCAACTTTCTTAATGGCTAGTTGGAGAATTTCTTTTGCGGGTTGACCCGCAACCCAACCGCACTCATCCGCCACCTACCCAACCTAACCAGCAGAAGTATGTGGGTGGATTGCGGGTCACAATTATTCCAACCCACTAGTAAGCGGATGGGTCAATTTGAGATCAAAACCCACCCAACCCGCCCGTTGCCCACCCCTAGTTAGAACATGGGCAATGTCTATTTTTTACCCAAACCTTTTTCGGATTCTTTTTTTTTAACCAAACCTATTGAATTCCTAAAAATTATCCAAACGTTAACTCTCCGTCAACTTTTCTGTTAGTAATGCTGACTAAGTATGATCATAATGAGTTGACTTCATACGTGGCGGTCAGAATACCATCATTTACTATTTTTAATAAAAAGATTATCAAAAAACAAAACAAAATCCCACCTCTCACGTGGACGAAATAAGTAACGGTAACAGAATGAATGCCCAGACTTTGATAAATTATAATACGTTTGGATAATAAATAGAATTTCTATAGGTTTGGTTAAAATAAAAGAATCTGAAAAAGGTTTGGGTAAAAAATAGACATTGCCCTTAGAACATCTATTTTGAGAGTATGAATAGAAATCATTAAAAATCCATATTCTCTCTTCTTTCTATCTAATTCTCAGTTCTTGGTCGCATTTCCTTCTCTAATTTCTTCACAATCCCTAAACCCTCAAATTGTCAATCCTTCATTCCTTCCCGGATCATCTTGGTTCTATCAAAGTTCTGTTACCAATTGCGAAAAATAATAGCCAATTGAACATTTTTGCATAAATGCCAAAACTATGTTACTATATTGGATATTTGTTATGGCTGGTTATGGCTGTTGTTGCCATCCTTTGGAGGATCTGGCGGTCTCGTAATTGGGTTGTCTTTGAAGGCAAACAGTTTGGGATCCCAGCGCTCATGCGACAGTTCAACCAACAGTATGAGGAATGGGTGGGATTGCCAACGGATCAGGTGCCTAGGGTGTCGCGTCCGATTGTTCAACCAGCAGTTCAGGAGGGTGATTCCCGGTTGGTTTGTATGTGCGATGGGGCCACTAGGAGTGGGTCGCATTCGGCTGGCAGGATGGTTATCCTAGCCCCCGGGCGGACCGTTCTTCTGGCAAAGGGGGTTCAGTTTCCTCATATGGATGAGCCCGATGTGGTGGAGTTGCTTGTACTTCGGGAGGCTATTACTTGGTGTTTGGAGTATGGCTTGTCGGCTGTCCGGTTCGAGGGTGATGCCAAGGTGCTTATTGATAAAATTAATCAAGCCGACACAAGGGATAACCGGTTGGGTGCTGTACTGGATGAGATAGGTCATTATTTTCGCACCCAGCCTGGGTTTAGTGTGCGATTTGTAGGTCGGGAGAACAATAGGGTAGCTCATTCGGTAGCTAGAAAAGCCCTCTCTTTGTATCCGACTACGTGTCGCTTCTTTGATTTCCGGGCCTGGCTGGATTCCAGGGTGTAACTATCTTTTTTATGATCAATATATGATATCTTTTGGGAAAAAAAAATATTGGATATTTGTTCCGAATATAAATGATGGGTAGGGGATAATTTGGTATTTGGATGGAAGTTAATGAGAAATAAAAAGGAAGGCTGAATACCAATTATGAATTACTAGTAAGGAAAGTCCGCGCTCCGCGACGGGCGACAGTTCGTAATATGTGTCGTACTACATATAGCAATTTCCCTGAACGGGAAAAAATAGTATAATCAAACATATTAACGACAGAAAGGTTTCTTTTGGTTGACTTTATCTTACAGAGTTCTGAAAGGTTTTCAAAAATTGTGCAAACCCATGAGAGTAATATAACAGTAGGTGTTGGATCGGAGCTTATATAACCGTCAGAGCTCACAATGAAAAAAAAACTCGAAAAGTGTTGGATTGGAGCTCAAACAACAGTCTTTCAGATGAGTTTACATAAAATGGTAAAATCTTACCAAGCGAGTGATTGCCAGTGAAAAGGAGACCATGGTCAAATGACGATCTGTGGGCACAAACGACAACATCAAGAAAGTATACTAGGACAGATAGCAAGTGCAGGCAATCAAACATGGAACATAAACTAAAAATCAAGGGAGCAACTTTGACTGATGACACATAGTGCTCAAGTTAGGTTAGGTGTACAATTTAAAGCAGGCACAATCTATAATTTCTAGACAAAACCAGCAACATCAATGCCTGGTATCGATGAGTACTTTTATGAAATGCATTCTGCTAATTTCCCCACATTTGCATCACCCTAGTTATATGACTATATGCATGTAACGAAACAAAACCATATAACCTCTAGTTCTGAAATAATGAATCCCCAACACATTTCTCCATGTGATATTCCAAAGACTTGGTCATTTAAGAACTCACAAATACACAGCTCAGCCTGCTGGAGAT